AAAAAAAAAAAAATACCACATGGCCGCTAGTGGTTTTTGTCCTGGTCTAGAGGCTTGGGGAACTAATTTGGCTCATGAGCATACATGCCCAGGGTCCCAATGTGATAAAGAAACGGAGAAGGAATCTGGAGAAGATAATATATATTGGAGTGTGCTTTCTCCTTCTGTCTATGGCAAGCACACACACTCTCTGACAATTTTTTTCTTAAAAAAGAACAAAGAATCTTATTTTTTGAAATTGTTTATTTAACTTTATTTATTTATTATTATTATTCAATTTGACTAGAGAGAGACACAGAGAGAGAAGGAGAGTGAGAAAGCAAGCTGCCAGTTCCAGGACCAGAATCATAGTCAACCATGTGGGAGTCCAACACCTAAACCACCAACCACCTGCCAGCCCCAAAGAATCTTCTTCATAAAAAGTTGCAGTTCAAGATAAAATTAGTGAGGGTCACTAGGAAAAAAAAAATCTCCATTTACCACCATTTAAAAATGAACATTGACTTTAAAAAGGGTTTGTCCTAGAGACCAACAGATGGTATAATGGTTACATCGCAGGACTCCCATGGAGCCCTCAGTTCCAGTCCGGGAACTGGCAGCTTAAAACACACTGGGCACGTATGCATGTATGCCCAAAATCCCAAGAGGAGAATGGAGGAGAAAGGATTGTGGCATGGTCATCCCCCCTGGGGAGTGATTTCTTGCTTTCTGTCTGTCAAGTGCATGTGCCCCATAGCAAAAATCTCTCTTAAAAAAAGGGAGGAATTTGTCATAAATTTCATATTAATCATCACTACACACTGCTCCACCTTGCCATGTACCATCACTATTTACTTCAGCTTAGGAAATACTTTGTTTAAAATCATAATTACTAAATACAACAGCAATAATTAAAATATCCAGTGCTCTGATTGATATTCAAGTTGGCTGACAGAATCAATGCAGAATTCTAGAATGATTAACTTAATAAATGGGAGTAGCAAAGTAAAAGTCTGCCTCATTTAATACCTTTTCTTAATGAATTCAGAATTCGATATTACTTTTACCTTATATTCCAAGAGAGAATTAACTTGTTCTACTTCAGAATTACTTATCATGTCACTTTCTTCATCATCGATAATTTCTATTTTCTGTAACATGAGTAGAGAAATTTTCATAAATATATATCAGATCATTATCACTACACTCAACAATGTACGGAACATACACACTACACATTCAATGTTCAGGGTTAGTGATCATTTACCTACTCTATGTAATCTAGAATAAACTTTGATAATTGACTGGCTTCTCAGGGTTACAAATAGTGTGTTGCTGAGCCACTTCTCTCTACTTTTAATTGGTGATTGCTTAGTAAATGGAAAATTAATACTATTTAAAGTAGAAAATTTCTTTTCATAATATCCCTGTAAAAATTGGCATTCAAACTATGCTTAAAGAGTGCCCTCCAGTGACAGAGAGCTCTATTTTTTTAAGAGTAGTCTATTTTAATGGTAAACATTTTGAAAGGCTTTCTTTTTAAGTCCTCACATACTTCTTTGCAATTTTTAATGTAAAATGTTGAAATATGGCATGTATTCCAAAGTCAAGTAAATTTTTTTAGAATTCACATGTTTATAGCACTTCATTAACCAGACAATTGAAAACAGACATCTCTGATGTAATGATGAAAATTACATGGTGATTTGTTTCCATCATTTGACAATAATAACAGGGATGGAGGTAGGGTTGGAGGAGGGAGAGAAAGAGACTAAACTGTTCTTAGCTTTAGAATTAATATTGCAGCATGTCTTATACAGTATCCTGTGCTCTGTAGGTACTAATTAAATATGGCAAAAGAATTAACAAAATATCTCAGTGTTAACACAAAAAATTATTAATAAGATCCAACCACAAAGGTGATACATTCTCTAATCATGTAACTGTTTTGTTAAAAATAAAAAAGTAAAAACAAATGACCTAAATAAAATCAGCTCTAGAGTTCTCTTTTGCATGAAAAAACACAGTAAACATGCAACACACACACACACACACACACACATGCACAAACCTTTAGATATTTAAACGCTGCCAACCCAAAAGAAAATTTTAGAAAGGAAAAGCTAAACTAGATTTAGTCACTAGACAATTCCTTAAGAATGAGCACATTAATAATAACATGTTATAGGCCAAATTTGAAATCAGTCTTCTTACCCAACAATATATATGGTGATTAAAAGTCACAAATAAACTTGGAATGATCATATTTGATACATTGCCTAGGAGGATGTGATACTGTTACAGGGTTTGTGACCCACAGGCTTTTGAGTCAAGAGGACAGTTGCAATGAAATTGCTTTCTACTTCTGCCAGGAGAGGAACGTTATGTTTTGTTTTCCTTTATAATCACTATAAACTTGGGGCTTAATCATGTTGGCTCTTTCTAGACTTCAAAGTTGATACCTTTTCAGATTATTTTTAGATTCTCTACCTTTTGAATTGGTTCTGGGAAAAAGGAGCTAGGCAATTCAGTGAAGAAGACACCAAAGGCCACTGTATAGATCAGTGTATATAAATAAGTCTTATATGTCTATGTGATTTCTCATCCATGAATAATTGGGGCCACTCAAAAGTTACAGGCAAACTTTCAACCTTTGAAAGTTTGGGATTTTGTCTCTGAAAATCAATTGTTCTTGAAGAACTAGATGTCTAAGTGACTATGAGTCATCCCATGCCATGACTTCATTCATTATTTTCAAATGTCTGCTGCAGGAAAGATTCAATGCAGAGAAATTCAAGCTAAAAATGATCATGTTTTAGATGATAAGAGGTTTGAATTTGTAAATAATCGTATATAGCTTGTACACCATAACTCAAAGCTATAGCAGAAGAAAACTATTAGTTGGTGGAATTTAAGAATATTAGCACAGTTTACAATGATGGAAGACAATTCTTAGGTGCTGGATGGAAACATGAACTTGCTTCAAAATCAAAATTTGTCTTCCTATATATCTGTTGAAAGTATTGTTCAAAAGGTCAATCATCAACCAGGACTGAAATCAATAAAATGCAATCCTAAACTATATTCTGTATGTGAAAAATACTGTTATACATTGTTAATACTTGACAAAAAAGGCTAAAAGTACATTCTATGTGCTCAATTTTTATTAAAGAAATGTGGTAGGACTATGGTGTCAAATAAATGATATTTGTAATAGGAGCCAGGGTAAATCTTGAAGTAGCAGTCATTTCATAACAGAAAAAGACATTAGAAGGGCTATTTTTAATGGTTGCAATCAAGCACAGAATACTGGTTCAAAAGCAAAAACCAAAACATAATGATATTCTACTTTATGCCTGATTTTAGTTTTATATCATTATGATTTCTTTATTACTTGACAGAGTCAGAATATAAACACATGCTGCTAATACAACTACTTAGGGAGGATCGATATATGTTTACATTTTCACAAATTCCAACATAACCCACTCTGTCACTGCCTGCTATTAAAACTCTTAATGCTGGCTTTCCTCCTTTACTGTGATGTTTAAGATGACTACCAGAGTCAATTAACTACAATATAAAGAAGAAAGGGTTCCAAACATAGTAAGAAAGGTATGGAATGAAAGAACTCAAAATCAGAAACACTTGGATACAAATGCCAGAACTAACAAAAGCTTTCTTCATGATCTTAGACTAAACTCCATATTAATTCTGCCATCTGTCAATGAGAAGAAATGTGCTCTTTGCTAAGCATTTTAAAGAAAAATAACTTACATGTATAAAATGTGATCAGGTTTTATATTTGTCAGTCTCCTAAGTCATCAAATTTGAGGTACAAATGATAACATTTTAAATTTAATTAAGCCCTCAAAGATATATAATTTCACTGGAAAAGCTCTGTTTTTATTTGTGAAGTAAAGCAAGACTTTATTCTGACAATGTTGATAATGTCACCAAATGGAAACATGTCCTTGAAATCCATCATGTAATGAGGAAAGAATTTCAAAATGTACATACCACGTTATCTGTGGATATTGGCTGGTGATCCTCCTCTTTATGAGCCCTTGCATGATTTGGAACAACTTCATTGGGTTCTTCTGTAGAAAAGAAAAGCCACAATTTCATTCTGCAAAAGTTTATTAAGGATGCTTTTTTTCCAAGATAATTTAAATAATTTATTGTAGAAAGATAAGTGGCAAATTCATTTCACACATGTTCTGATGAGAAATTCTACTTCTAATGATGTATCCTAAGGAAATAAGTGTGGATGGGTGCAAATACAAAGATTGTCACCACTGTGCTGTTTATAATTTAAAATAAAATGGAAAATCCCTATATCCTTAACAATGAGGATTGGAGAAACCATTTTGACCTATTTATACAATAAATATTATGAAGTCACTAAAATAAAGTAGAAGAATAGTTAATAGCAAAAACCAAAAAAAGAGAAAAAAATATCTATTCTATTGGAACAGGAAAAAATCAAGATAAGAAAATCTACTATTTAGGTACACGTAACATTAACTTTGTAAAAGAAAAAGAAGTATTGGGCAGGTCCTATGGCCTAGTGATTAAGGAAGCTGGATCCCACATGGCCAAATCCTGCCCTCAATAGCTTAAAAACCACTCTGGGTTCATGTGTGCACATGCATCCACAAACTACAAGTTAGAGAAACAAAGAAGGGACTGCAGTATGACAACACCCCACTGGAGAGTGCTTTTACCCTCTCCTCCTTTCTGTCTCTCTCTGGTGAGTGCAGGTGCCCTCTAACATATAAACAAAATAAAACAAAATAAAGAGTATAAACTTTCATGGAGAAAAAAAGAAGATTGGCATTATTTATACCAAAATGTTGCTATTACTATCTGGATGGAGATATGGGTGATTTTTATTTGTCATCTTTTTGCTCATTTTTATTTATTTTTCTACAATGAATATGTACTGCTCCTTGCAATAAGAGAAAAGTGGTAAAAATAATTTTCAAATACATGACATAAAACCTTATATGCAGCACATTTCCAATTTTGCAAAAAGGTATGTGTATGCATGTGTACACAGATACACATACTCCTATATATATGCAAAGAGAATACACTGGCAAAAACACCTCCCCTGCCCTTCTTTGCAGAAGGGTTATCACCAAATGGTAGGATTATTTATATTTTTTACTGTATTTGCCAATATTTTCTATAATGAACAAATATTCTTTTTTTCGATCAAAATTTGATATTCTGAAAATGAAAAAAATAATAAATCAGAGAACCAGTCTACTAAAAAACTCTCTCTGCTGAGATAGGGGAAGGGGCTGGTTAGAGGAACAAGGTGTCAATATGCATAATCCTTTCAGTTTTAGATTACCTTTACTCCCACTCAATAGAAAAACACAGCAGTTGAGGTCCCCAGGTGGTGTGGTGGTTAAGGGGCTGGACTCTCACATGGTTGACCACAGTTTGAGTCCTGGACCAAGTGACTTGCTTTCTCACTTTCTCTTTCTCTCTGTCTCTATTCAGTCAATTTTTTAAAAATGAAAGTAATTCTTTTTAAAAAGGAAAAGAAAAACAAAGCTGCACTAGAATCACTTTTATTTTCCCCTGCACAATTATGCCATGGAGATTATTGGAGAAATACTAGTAGATAAATACTAGTCCTTTGGTAACCAGCATTTTATTTCACCCTAGAAAGTGGAATAAAAATATTCATCAACCCTCCCAAGATATTTCCAAGTCCCTTCTTTCCCATGAAAGACATATAGGATTGCCTTTTCTGAGTATGGAGGATGATTGGAGAAAAACAAGGCTAATCCAAGAACTCACAGATAAGCATATAGATATTTCAAGTTTACAATATCTAAGGAAACATTACCGGAGTTTTAATACAAAGTCTGCCATAAATTCAATTAAAATTTTTTCTTTCTCCCTCACTAGATATTTAAAATTTTTTATTGTGTATATATTTAAGATATACAATAAGAAGTTGTAAGATAAACAAATATAGTAAAGTGGTCACTAAATGAAACACATTAATGTATCCATCATCTTACATATCCATTTCTCTTCCCTGTGGGTGTAACCTACTTATTGGCAAAAATCTCTGAATATAATACACCATTATTAACCATGGTCTTCATGTTATACATTAGATCTTTGGATTTGTTCATCCTGCATGTCTGCTACTGTGTACCTACCTACCTCATACCTTGGCCCTGATAACCACTGTTTTATCCTCTATCTATATAGGTTTGACCTTCTTTTTCCTTTGCCATTTTCTAAAACATGGATAGACTTGGAAGACAATATACTAAGTAAAATAAGCTAGACAAAGAAAAGTATTGCATGATATCATTTATATGTGGAATATTTTAAAAAGTTGATTTAAATTATTCATTATTTAGACATTTCAAATCACAGACATTTTGAGTCCTACATAATTGGCAATTAAATAAAATGAAGGGAGTGAAAATTGTCATCAGTTTTAGCTGCAGGGCTGGTATTAAAACTGGTGGCCTCAGAAGAGGGGTTACATAGCTCATCAACAGGATCATTTCTGGTACCATTCTTATAGATATTCTTGTTCTCACTCGTTCACAACTTTGTAAACAGCTCTGCTTTATTGGTTACATATTCATCCATGGTATGATTATTTTAGAACGCTTAAATAAACTATCTTGAGAATTTCTAAAATAAAAAGGTATGAAATGATATAGCTGAAAAAAGAATGCTTTCATTTGCTTATAGATAGTTTGAAAGCTAAACACTCTCAATGTTCCTGGTAATTCCTCAAGAAAGTATCTCTACTAATTGGAAAATAAATAAAGTTGTGATTTTTTTTGGAGAGGTTTTTGCTATAGGGCATGTGCGCTTACCAGAGAGACAGAGAGACAGAAAGTGAGAAATCACCCCCAGGGGGATGGCCATGCTGCAATCCCTTCTCTTCCATTCTTCTCTCAGGACCTCGGGCATGCACGCACATGCGTCCTGTGTGAGTGCAACCCACCAGGTCCAGGACTCAAACCACAGTTGACTACATGGGAGTCCAGCGACATAGCTATTACACCAACTGCTGGTCCCTGAAGTAGAGTTATTAATCAGTGAAAACTCTAGAGGGCATTCTGATGGTAGCTCTATGCTCACACTAAGTAACTGTGTGTGGAATTATCTTTCATGTGTACACACACACACACACACACACACATACACAATAGATATGGCTGGAAAAGAGGTTTTGCTGTAAAGTTTACTGTTACCTATGTTAATAGTTTCCATACTTTAAAAAAATTTGCTTTTCAGGATAATAAAAATCCTTAAAGTTGCTTAACCATATACATATTGTGGTAGACACAAGGCTTGAATTAAAGGAGTGCAATTATCCAGCTATTACTTTTGCTAGAGTTTGTGGTGGTGGGAGATGTTAACCCAGGTGGCTTTTTCTTTATCAATACAAACCACACCTCCTTTATCTTTGTCTTCACACAGGTAAAGGAAAAGGACATGAGAGAGGAAGATGGAAGTTAAAAGTACAGACAAAAGCTCTCTATTAGGGAAGTATCTACGCTCTCAGAAACAAAGGAATGAAATGGCGACTGCTAAAAGATTAGTAGTAATTTTTGTGGCTGAGGCTGGCATTCACTGGGTTAAAAAATACTTTCTTTGGCTTGTATAACATTTTAATGTAATTTTTTATGAATCTTAAGCCCTGATTTTAAGATATTTTCTCCTGTTTCAGGCATTTACAAGATTCTAACCCTATTGAATGAACAGATTTATTATAAGGATTCTGAATGTCAGTTGTTAGGTTTATAAAATAGTATGGATAGCTACTCTGATTATTCTGTCTCTATATATTTAAAATGTAATTAATGAAAATATCAAAGTAGATATATATTTTAACTACATTTTCATAAGTTAAAAAACAATATAGTTAGCATTTTTTGAGAGGTTTTTGCTATAGGGCACATGCGCTCACCAGAAAGACAGAGACAGAGAGACAGAAAGTGAGAAATCACCCCCCAGGGGGGGATAGCCATGCTGCAGTTCCTTCTCCTCCATTCTCCTCTTGGGATCTTGGGTATGCACGCACATGCGCCCGGCATGAGTTTAAGCCACCGGGCCCAGGACTTGAACTGCAGTCGACTACATGGGAGTCCAGTGACAGCCATTACGCCAACTGCTGGTCCCAGTATAGTTAGCATATTTTAAAAGTATAATATTAGTCTACGCTAGATGGTACAATTCATTTAATCATTACAAAAGGATCACATGGTTAAACCAATTAGGTTAGCATTATTCATCAGCCAAATGAGGAAGAGAATAGGACAGATCTATCAATATTAGGAAACCATACAAGAAGGGGTCCTTTTCAGTATTCAAAAATTCTTTCATGCTTCTCTGTTGTAATTTCTTGTAAGAATGAAAAGGTTACCATGCAGCTGTGAAAAATAAGCTGCAGAGAGAAAGTCTAGGCAATTGCACTTCTCATCAAGTGTTTTTGATTCATGCATTAAATTCTCTCTCCCTTTTCTCATTAGATCTGGATTACTATATCGTCTGTCTAGAAAACATGACAATGGATGCCAGAGTAGGAGCACTGGTTTATTATTAAGAGGACCATTACGGTGAACTTTAAAATTAACTTTCACTTTTTTTCCCATTAAGTGTTTCTTTTTTTAAATAAAAAAAAATTATAGGGTGCATGCTCTCACCAGAGAGACAGAGATAGAGACAGAGACAAAAAGCAAGAAATTATCCTTCAAGGGAGATGGCCACACTGCAATCCCTTCTCCATTCTCCTTTCAGGATTTTGGGCATGCACGCACACGCGCCCAGCATGAGTTTCAAGCCACTGGGTCTGGGACTTGAACTGCGGTTGACCATATGGGAGTCCAGTGATGTAACCATTATGCTATCTGCTCGTCCCAATTTTCTAAAATTCTATTTTAGGTGAGGAAGTAGGAGTTGGGGAATGAAATTCTACTTAGGGGCTTCTGTACTTTCTTTTGCCAGAATATTTCCTCTCATTCTCTCACCCATCCATCCACTGAAAGAAATCAATTCCTATTTTCCCACTCTCCCTCAACTAAATGTCAGTCATCAGACTAAACAAGATTCACTTAGGAATTCTTAGAATATTGAATTATCTCCAGGCACATACAATTTATTAAAGATAAATGGAAGACAGAAATGGTTTAATGGCCCAACCATATTAGAAATAAAAGGCTTGGAAATTTTGATGATTTTTAAATCTGTCTCACTAAACATTAAATTCTCTGTTATTGTCTTTTTCAAAATAAATAGCAAATGCTGAGAGAGAGAGACTGAGACTTGAATTATTCATACCGATAACCATTCTATCACCTGGCCTTAAAATATATGACCCTCTCTCAATAGTAACAGCTTTTCTTTTCCTTTCATTACTCAAATCTACTGCACTTTGTTTTTCTCCTCCTTTCCCATGCAATTAATTGTTTTTTCAAGAACATCTTGAACATCCAATCCTTCTCGTTCTTCTTTCTGTGTGTCTCTGTGTATGTGTGTGTGTGTATACATATATTTATCAAGTACTATTCAACAAATACTGTAGGGGGAATAGGTCAACCATTTAGAAAGATCAAATCAGTTATTTTCCTCACTCATTTTAAAGTAAAATAAATCTAAGTGAAATAACTACCTAATTATAAAAATAAAACCATAATGTTAGAGGCCTAAATACTATTCAACAAATACTGTAGGGGGAATAGGTCAACCATTTAGAAAGATCAAATCAGTTATTTTCCTCACTCATTTTAAAGTAAAATAAATCTAAGTGAAATAACTACCTAATTATAAAAATAAAACCATAATGTTAGAGGCCTAAATAGGGGTATTTTACACAATAGTAGTACAAGGAACGACTTTGTTTTTTTTGTATTTTTTTGTTTGTTTGTTTTCAGAGAGATTTTTGTTATAGGGCACATGCGCTCACTGGAGATACACAGAGAGACAGAGACACAGAAAGCGAGAAATCACCTCCTAGGGAGGATAGCCACGCTGCATCCCTTCTCCTCCATTCTCCTCTTGGGATTTTTGGCATGCATGCACATGTGCCCAATGTGTTTTAAACCACTGGGTCTGGGACTTGAATAGCAGTTGACCGATGTGGGAGTCCAGCAATGTAACCATTACGTTATCTGCTGGTCCCTACAAGGAAGGACTTTGAAATCATGACACCAAAGTCAGAAACCATAAAGTATAGTTAACCAAACTCAGAAACCATAAAGTAAAGTTAGATTTGACAACAAAAGTTACAAACAAAAGTTTTGACATCAAAAAATACTAGAAGAAAAATTGAAAGGCAAACAATAAACTGCAAAATACAGTGTTAATATCCTGAGCAGGGATATTAACACAAACAAAATGGTCAAATGCATGATTCTCTGTTTCACAATCACAGATGCAAAAGGAATATATATTGTATGATTTCAATTACATAAAAAACAAATTTGTATAGTCAGAACACAGATTAATGGTTGCCTTGATCTGAGAATGGGAGGTGAGACTAACTGCAAATGGGCTCAAGAAAGGTTTTAGAGATAAAAATAATCTAAAATTAGATTTTAGTGGTGGGGGTGGTTGTACAATTGTATAAAATTTACTACAAATCATTGAATTCTAAATTCTACATTTACAATGGATGGATCCTGTAAAAAATGCTAATAAAAAGGTGACAGAAGAAAATGGATTCTGTTCCTAAAGTAAAATGAAAAACACTTCTTATGAAAAAATGTCATAATTCCATATTATCTGAAGTCTCATTTAGGGAAACATTTAGGGATATTATAAAGATAATCTAGTCTCATTCTCTTTTATAGATGAGAAAACTAAAGCCTAGTGAATTAAAACTTTGTCTTAAGTCACACAATCAGCTAGTGGGAGAGGTAGGGTGTGCACCCACATTGCCTAACTACTAGCCTGGTGTTCAACACATTATACCATTCTGAGTTTCATTGCAGTGAATTTATAATGTTCTAACCTCAACTGACTAGGATGCCAATAAGACAAAAATAATTATTTACTTAATTATAATGTATGGATTGCTGTAATAGTCTACATTTCTAAATGTGGGAGATTATTATTGTAGTAGATAAGTGTTCCTTGTGATGTGTCTATATGGGAAACCGTTTAAGTGGAGACATTAAAACTAAATAATTTCTTTTAAAAAACTTGGTCAAATGTCTTGAAGACTTTAGATTTGAAGTGCAGTGAGCTGAAAGGCAAGTAAAAAATGCATCAGATTTACAAAGGCTATTATTAGGAGGTACAACATATAAAGTACCTTGAGAGCTTCCTTCAGACAAACAGATGGACACTTCATCATTTCTGTCATTATCCTCTCCTGCCTCCTCTCCTGGTGTGAGTGCAGACAAAGAACCAGATTCAGGCTGTTCAGAGAAATCAGCAGGGCCTCCTCTTGGAGGTGGAACTTCAATCCCCATTAAACGATATTTCCTTCTTCGATTCCCAATCCACGTCTTTATAAGAGAATTAGAAGAGAAAGTTTTGTAAATATAGAACACTTAGCAATTCTGGCCATTAAAGTAATGAATGTATGTTGCATCAAATGTGATTAAAAAGAATAAATAGGTACAGAGGATAATATAAATTTTATGTCAATAATCCAGTATAAAAATAACTAACTTTTAGCTATTTCATTAGTAGAAAGAGGCTAGTATCTAATATTTAGGCTTTCAGGTAGCATGCAGTTTATGATAGATTGCTTTTGTTTCTGTTTCTACTTTGTTTTGTTTTGTTTCTGGAGAAAACAATTCACTGAATCTTTCAAAGAAAAATAAATTGGTTCTTTTGCCAAAGGAACCAGACATACAGATATTACAGTTACAACTATAGCTCACATTCTATATCCAGTACTGCACTTCCTAGGTGAAAATGTGCCCATATTAACCTTGTTTGGCTCCATAATGGTTACCTTGGTATTTTAAGTACTCTGACATTTCATTTTATTGTATTTAAAACCACTTTTTAAAACTCTTCATGATGAAATAATCTTAGAATAAAATTTAGACACAGAAACTAAATCAGTTGCAAGAAATTTCAGATAGGTTTTATGTATTTTTCACTCCATTTCCTCTAATTTACATCTTGCATAATTATAGCATTTTATCAAAAACAGGAAATTGATATTGTACACTATGTGTATAAATCTGTTTCTCTTTATCAGGCTATTTCTCTTCCTCTCTCTTCCACTGTCTCTGATCTCTGGCAACCACTATAATCAGTTTTCCACCTCTATAACTGTGTTTTTCCAAGAATATTTAAATAGACTCTACATCATGTAACCTTTTGAAATCATATTTTTCAATAGCATAATTTCCTGGAGAGTCATTCAAGTGTGTGTATCAATAGTCCATTCCTTTTTATTGCTACATAGTATTCCATTACATGTATTTACTAAAATTTGTTTACTCATTCAACTTTTGAAAGACACTTGTTTCTAAGTTTTGGCTATTAGATACAAAGTTATTACAAAGAGTCAAGTATAGGTTTTAGTAGAGATGTAAGTTTTTATTTCTTTACGATAAAGAAAGAAGAATGCAATTTCTGAGTCATATGATTACATATTAAGTTTTATTTTTATTTATTTAGTTTTTTTGCTACAGGATGCATGTGCTCACTGGAGACAGAGTGAATGAGAGAAGGAAAGTGGGTAATTACTCCCTGGGGGATGGCCAAACCACATCACTTGTCCTCTATTCTCCTCTTGGGATTTTAAGCATGTACATAAGCCCAGTGTGATTTTTAAGCCACTAGGTCCAGTACTCGAACTGCACAGTTGGCCATGTGGGATCCTGCTGCTTTAACCTCTACACCACCTGCTGGCTTTACATACTAAGTTTTATAAAAAAACTTCCAAATCATTTTCCAGAGGAGCTGTCTCATTTTACAACCTTATCAGCAATGTATGAGAGATCCAATTCTCAGCATTCTTGCTAGTATTTAGTATTATATATATACACACACACACACAGATAAGTTAGTAGGTTATTTTAATATATATATATACTGATAGGCAGTAGGTTATTTGACTTTAGCTATTGTCATAGTAGTGACAGTTCACTGAGTTATTAATTTTTATTTCACTAAAAGCTAATGATGTTTAATATCTTGCTATTTACTTCCTTTTCCTCTTTATATTATATTCATTCTTCATTTTCTAACTTATTTATTTATTTAATTATTTAAGAGAGGTTTTTGCCATAGGGTACATGCGCTAGCCACAGTTGGCCATGTGGGAACCATTTACCTTAACCACTGTGCCACAAGCTGTCCTACAAATCTAATAAATCTGACATCCCTGTCATATCTGAGTCTGGTTCTGATATTTTCTCAGTCTCTTCAAACTGTGTGTATTGTTTCTTTCCAGTTAGCATATGCCTTATAATTTTTTTGTTGTAAGCAGAACATGATGTACTATGTAAAATAAACTACAGTAAATGGCCTTTATAGTTGGAGTGGTAAGTTCTAGGAGAAAGGAAAGCATTATATAGTCCTATTATGGGGTCTCTGTCTTTTAATGAGTCTTTGTTTTGACCTATCAGCATCATAAGTGCTTCTCAGTTTATTTCTCACCTTAGGTGGAATAGGATGACCACAGAGAGCTGGAGTAGGTTATTTCCCTTTTCCCAGGATAGATAGGCTGTGATAAAATCTCAATGAGTAAAGCTCTTGAAAATTGTTCCTTTTAGCAGCTTTGTTAAGAAGAATAGAATGCTCTTGAATACTTTTAATCACTACTTTTCCTTACCTTCTGCCAGAAGCATGAGAAAATATTCACTGTGAGAACCTGGTAAGGAACTAAAAGGAAAACTCATAAAGGGGAATTCCCACAGCCCAGCTCCTAGTAAAGTGAAAATCCATGTGCATCTGTGGTGGGCCCAGCTCTACCCCTTCAACTGAAAAGTCTGAACCTCTGCCTCAAAGCTCTCCTTACGGCCCAACTCCTAGCGAAACGAGATAGGCTAATACCTGTCTTCTCTCTGTCTCTGTCTGTCTCTCTCCCTTTCCCTTTCTCTCAGAATTTTTCTTTACTTTTTTTTTTGTAAATTATTTTTTCATTTAACTTTACTTATTATTATTTTCATTTGACCAGAGAGGGAGGGGAAAGTGAGACTAGAACTATGGTCAGCCATGTGGGAATCCAGTGCCCTTAAACACCACAACACCTGCTGGCCCTGGAATTTTTCTTTTTAAATATATAAATTTTAAAAAAATCTGTAACTACTATTCTTGTCTCTGACCTCTCCTTTCTCTTGTTAATTTCAGAATTCATGTGCATCTGAGGTGGGCCCAGCTCTGCTCCTTTGCATGGCGCTTTGCACCACAGTTTTCATTTTTTTCCCTTTTTTTAAGAAAGAAATTTGTTCCCCTTTCATTTGTGTGTGTGTGTGTGTGTGTGTGTGTGTGTGTGTTTGTTTTGGTCTTTTCCCTTTTTTTCTCCCTTTTCTTTTAGTTGACTTTCTCACCTTGCTTCTCAACTTCCACACTTTGACTGTCTTGACAGGTGTAGGTGAACTGTAGTGAAACATCTGAATACATTTAGGGTCATAGAAAACCTCAACCCCCACTGAACTGCCAGAGAAAGGGAGAAATTCATTTTTATAAATCTGAATTTAAATCTCTTTCTGTAGATATCATGTTGCAAAACACAGTAGTAGAGAAGAAATAGGCATAGAAGTACCTCACAGTAAAGTTAAACATACGAGCTTACAGTAGCAGAAATTTCCAACAAATTAGATAACTGTGAATATACCACCAAATGACTAAAAATCAGAGAAGAGAGACTACAAAGTGAGCAGCAGGGAGAAACACGGAGCTGTCGAGAGTGAGGATCATCGCCTCCGTCTCTGAATTCTTAGTTGAAACCCCACAGCTCAGCCCTGGTGCATCTATTCCCTAAAAACTGTGAGGCCTTTGTAATATCCGGTTCTATCAAAAAAAAAAAGTGCACGTTGCTTGGTAAGCATCAGGGAAACGGAATTGCAGAAATATTACAGGTCATCTCCTCCCGCATGCCTCTAACACTCAGAATTAACTCCAAGAAAGTAGGGAGTAATATATAATCCATCAGATGACCAGAAATCACTGCACAGGCACAAGAAATATGTGAAACTAAGAAAATATCTCTTCTCCAAGGGGAAAGAACAGTCCTACTTCTTCCACAGAGAGTACAATGGAACTCGTGGAAATGTCAGATAAAGAATTTAGAATATCCATAGTGACAAAGCTAACAGAGATGGAAGAGAAGATAGACAAAGAACTTCAGAAGATGCAGGAGAAAAGATACAATGAGTTCCAAGAGGTGAGAAAGCTCTTGCATAATCTGAAGGAGGAAATAGACATCATAAAAATGAATCAAATGGAACTACTAGAGATGAAAACTGTAACACAGGACATCAAAGCCTTCCTTGAAAATATTAAAAGCAGGAGCCAGCAGGTGGCATGGTGGTTGAGGGCACTGGACTCCCACATGGCCAACCACGGTTCGAGTACTGGGCCTGGAGGCTTGCTTTCTCTCTCTCTCTCTCTCAATCTCTCTCTCTCTCTCTGTCCCTCCTTGATCAAATTAAAATAAATAAAGTAAAATAAAATAATTCTTTAAAAAAAAGAAAATATTAAAAGCAGTTTAGACCATATGAAAGACTGAACCTCAGATATAGACAACAGAACCTCTGTTGTAGAAAAATTCACCAAAAAGACTGAGAAAATAATCCCCCAAAATGAGAATAATATACGAGTAATACTAGATAGCATTAGATGCCCAAACATCTGGATAATGGATACCGGAAGGGGAAGAAACTAATAAGGGCATTAATGATCTATTCTATGAAATCCTGGAAGAAAACTTTCCAAACCTAGAGAGTCATTAAAAGATCCAGATCCAAGAAATTCAAAGGTCCACATAGAATCAACCCAAGAAGATCTTTTCCAAGGCACATCATAGCCAGAGTGATGAAAACCACAGAGACAAGATACTAAAATTTGCAAGAGGGAAACATCAAGTTATTTTCAAAGGATTCCATCAGACTAACATCAGATCTCTTGTTGGAAACAATGCAAGCAAAGAAAGAATGGGAAAATGCATTCAAAGTGTTAAGTGAAAAACAATTTCAACCAAGAATATTATATCCAGTAAGATTATCCTTCATATAGGAAGAAAAGATCAAAAAAATTCTCAGATAAACAAAACCTAACAGAATTTACCTACACCATACCAGCTCTTCGAGAAGTTCTGAAGGGAGAGTGCTATACTAGGAAAACTAAAGAGACAGAAATAAGAGAACAAAAATGACCAAGAAAAAGGACATCTTAATGGCAAGGACAAGTTTGTAAATAACAATAATAATGTAGAATGTTAACTTCCATGGTTTAAATGGAAAGATCATATCACAGTAACACCGTAAATTGAACAAAAGAGACATTATATGAGATGGAACTGGTGAAACAGGATTCTGTG